CGCCATTAATGGGAGTCAGCCTGCTCCCAACCTCCATGAGCCCCCCACAGTGCCCCAGCCTGGGCCTGCCACCACATTTCCCCAAAGGCTCCCCCGAACATGCCCTTCCCAGACTGTGCCACTGGGTACTGTGGGCAGCCTGCTCCGGACAGCGACGCGCGTGGCCCTCCCTGCCCCTCCTCATTCCCAACCACGCTCAGCGCCAGGGTCACAGCCGAGTCTGAGGTTCATAGGTTCCAAGGCCAGACGGGACCATTGTGATCATTCAGTCAGACGTCCAGCAGGGCACAGGCCAGACGCCTGCCCCGAAACAATTCCCAGAGCCCATCGCCTAGAAAACCATCTGATCTTGAGTTAACGGTTGTCGATGGTGGAGAATCCACCACTCCCCTGGGTAAGTTGTTCCAATGATTAATTACTCTCCCCATTAAAAATGTAGCCCTCATTTCCAGTCTGAATTTGTCTTGCTTCAACTTCCAGACACTGGATCGTGTTAGACTTTTCCTGGCTAGACTGAAGAGGCCATTAGCAAATTTCTGTTCCCCATGTAGGGATCCAGTCACCCCTTCACCTTCTCTTTGTTCAGTAAACAGATTGAGTCCTGGAGCCTTTCACTACGGGTATGTGTGCATAGCCCGCGGGAGCAGCCTCCCTGCCTGGGGGACACATTTGGGTTGGCAGGACTCGTGGTAGTGCTCTAGACCAGAGCGTCTCAAACCAGGGGGTGCAGAATGTATTCTGGGGGGGGCAGGAGAAGCCGTGCTGCCTTCAGAGCTGGGTGGCTGGAGAGCGGCAGCTGCTGGCCAGGCACCCAACTCTGAGCAGTGGAGAAGGGTGGCAATACCATAGCATGCCACCCATACGTCTGCGCTGCTGCTGGCAGTGCCGCTGCCTTCAGAGCTGGGCGCTCTCCGCTCTGCCTTCAGAACAGGGCAGCCGGGTATGTACTTGTGTGGCAGGAGCGGGTGGAAATTACTACAGACAGAAAGAAGGGGGCACAATCCAATCAATCTGAGAACTGCTGCTCTAGGCAGAGCTGCGTGGACAGACTCTGAAGCTGTGGCGTGGGCCCACCTGCCCCCCTAGGACTCAAAGCCCAAGCTCCTGCCCCAGCTTCGAAGTGCTGCCTCCACAGCGATTTGTCGGGTGCAAGGGCGAGCCCCACTAGCCCACATCTGTTGACCCGGCTGGGACACTTCTGCCGCGGGCTGCGTAGACGTACACTAAGGTACGTTTTCCAGTCCTTTAACTGCTCTCATGGCTCTGCTCGGGAAAGAGTGGTGCCTGGGATGAGCCCATCTCGTTCCACGGGATGGAGGAGGCAGGGACCCCAAATATACCCAGCACTTCATCCCTGAGCCTGTGGGCTGAAGTCCCTGGATTCTAGGGCACAAGATGGCAGCCATCAGGAAACAGCACCCGCCCCTGCCCAGGCCAACCCCTCCCCGCCCATGCGATGCTCCCCCTTGCCTGGTTTATGGCCTGGGTGATGGAGTCCACCATGCCCCCGACGACCCCGGCAGCGCTGGCAGCCTCATTGAGAGTGGTGGTCAGGTCCTCCACAGCTTCCTTCATCATCTGCACAGCCTCCTCCAGTGCCTCCTGCGTGTGTGCGGCTTGCTGCAAGCACAGGCCTGCGTCAGGCCCAGGCAGCCACCGGCAGGACATGGTGGCGGATGAGAGGCGGCGACCGGGAGCACTTGGGCCTGTGCTCACGGAACCCTCCTCGGTCACCTCACGTGCACACGCCCCACCATCGTATTACACACACTCGTCGCTGGGGAAACACCTACAATGCCCTGCTGTGGGCCGCCCTGCACAAGCGCACACCACCCCCGCACAGGTTCTCACCTGGCACACGTCCCTGAAATCACACACCAGTGCAGCGTGTGAGCCTCGCACGGGCCAGGAAGGATTAACAAGCCGTGGTGCGCTCCACCGACCCTGTCCCTCGCCCCCGCATGAACGGTCAGGCGTGGAGGGGGCAGTAAAAGGGGGGAGCTGGCTCTAACGGCTGGGCAGTGACCGGGAAGAAGAGCAGAGCGGTCTGGCTGGGTCAGCAGCTGGGTGAAGGGCCGGTCTGCAAGAGGTAGGCCTGACCCCGCCGGTTCGTCCGCTTTGCTGCCAGGAACCCACTGGCGGGCTGCAGCTGGGCCTGCCTGAAAGGATGCGGCTGAAAGCTGGGGATTTCTTTGGTTTGTGTTTATGATGGACTCTGCCAGAGCGGGCTGGCTCCCCGCACCCGGGCCAGGGCGAAGCTACGGTGCTGAAGTGTCCATTGGGGAAACTGACAGCTGCTGCAGTGGTGCACCGCACCGTGAGGGGGTGCACAGGGATGGCACCTCTGCTACACACGCACACACACGCTGTACGGGACCCTGCTACAGGTGTGCACACCGCCCTCACACACACAACTGGAGATGGGCTGCACCCCCCCTACACTCAGACATGCTGCCCAACACCCTGCTTTGGGCAGCCCCCTTTCTGCTCTGCACGGAGTGCTCCCCGCACGCACCTTGGGGTTCCCAGCCGGCCTCCTTGGCCGTGTACAGCATCTGCAGGGCAGACTCAGACAGCGTCTTGGTCTGGTCCAGGAGGTTCATCTGCTGCTGGTGGTTGAGTGTCTTGGAGGCAGCACCGACAGCGGCCAGAATGAGCGGCTCGAAGTACTGAGCCATCTGGGACACCTGGGGACGAGCAGCATTAGTCCCAGGGCGGCCTGAGGCTAGTCCTCCTCGCCAGGCACCCCAACACAGGCCCCATCCCCCATATCCGGCAGACACAGCACGTCCTGCCCCACAGCACGTCCTGCCCCAGTCTGTTACCTTGTGTCCCAGCTGCGAGGCCTCCGCCCTGGCGGCGCTGGCCACAGGCTCTATCAGATTGCTGATCTCCTGAACAGCAGTGATCATCTGGTTGTGCAAAGCCTGCGGGGGGGGAGACACTGAGAAATAAGGCTGCCCCATGGCCCGGATCCCGGGGGCTGGAGTCACAGGGCCTGGCCAGAGGACCTAGAAGGGGAAGGGGGATGAAAGCCCAGGCCACAGGCCTGCCCCAGGAGAAGCAGGTGGCAGCGATTTGGTCACCGGACTATCCCAGCAGGACTGGTTTGGGGGCTGAGAAATTAGATCCCCCACTAGGGGCCTGTCTAAACCCCATCCTTTGGCATGTCAGGGCAGCCAGGCTGGTGCTGGCCACTGCCTGCCCTACACAATGGAACCTCGCTTCACGTCATCACTGGGGCGCACGAGCGTGTGACCACGTGCCCCACACAGGAGGGGGCAGTTGGTCCCCACAGTCACTTGGACAGGGACCCAAGAGAAGGGCAGGTCCCCATGGGATCCACTCTGCAGGGTGCCCAGCACCAGTCATGCAGGGCGGGGAGTCAGGCAGGGGCTGCGGGGAACTGGTGTGTGATGCCAAACCCCAGCATCTCTCATGGAGCAAAGAGGGGCTCAGCCAGGAAGATCCCGGGATCTGCGGGTGCAGGCGCAGGGCAGGGTTCCAGGAGTGCTGGGGGAGCAGAGACCCATAGGGGTAAGGCAGCTTCCAGACTCCGTGCTGATTTTAACAGCGCTTTGGTCAGTTTCCCCAGGAGTCAGGCTCCTGCTGGGAAGGGAGCCCCTGAATTTGGGGGGTGAGGCTGCGCAGGGAGCTCTCTCTAGAGTGCCGCCCCCAGCCCCAAGCATGGCAGCCACTTGTCTCTGGCTTTTCCCCTAAGAGCTGGGGACAGAGGCCCCCTGGCTGAGAGGGGCTGGGAGCAGCCTGTGCTGGGGGAGCGCAGAGCCCCCAGGCAAAGGGCCCATGCTGCCCCCCAGACTCACCTCCTGGGAGATGCCCTCTCGGGGGGCCAGCTGCTGGCTGATGGCAGCCAGGGAGGCCTGGTCCACATCCCGCATGCACTTGTTCAGCACCTCGATGGCCTCGTCGCACTCCCGCTGCCCAGGAGCCTTATCCCTGTGTGACAGCCCACGGTCAGCAACGCCCGGGCCGGGACGCAGCCTCGGCTTCCCCCTGGGCAGTGTGCAGGCACCAGGGCCCCCAGGGAACCCACGGCCCAGGGGAAGGCCAGGCTAGTGCCCCAGGCTGTTCACCCCTTCACTGCCTCCTCCCAGAGCCGCAGGGAGCCCAGCCCCAGGCCTGCCTGCTGGGCAGCTGCCCGTCCTGAACCAAGACAAATGGCCCTGGCCTTGCTGCACGGGAGCAGGAACAGGAGCGTGGGACTGGAGGTGTTCATGGTTCTCCTCCAGCTCCATCCCAGCATGCACCACTGCACTTCACGCCGACTGGTCTCCCCATCTCTGGGCCAGCACGCCGCCATCCTCCTGCCCTTGCCCAGCGGCTGCTGTGACACTGCCAATCACACCCTGCCATCTCCCTGCCCCCTCCCACACAGATCCCTGCCTCAGCGCCTGGAAGGCCTTGTTCCCACCCAGGCAGGCGCTGCCCAGCCCTGCACAACCGGCTGCCATGGAGACGCCCAGCAGGGAAATGGCTTGTGAGGACGTTCAGTCCTGGGCTGGGCTCCAGCAGTAATGCCCAGTGAGATGAACGTGGCTGCTGCCCGTTCTGGAGCCCAGCTGCCTGCAGACCCAGGCAGACGTCCCTGTGGACCTCCCACCTGTGGCATGTTTCCAAGACAGGCTCGAGGCTTTGCCTATAAATGAGATCTGAGCAGCTCCGGGGAGCAGTCTGGGGGGACGACCGACAGCGCTGGGCAGCCGAGAGGAGACCCCAGCCATTGGCCTGCACTCACCGCATGTTGGTGATCAGCTTCTTGATGGAATCGGAGACGGTGCGGGAGTGACCAGCCAGCACCGACCACTTGGGCGGGTCCTTGGGGTTGACAGCCAGAGAGCGGGCCGTCTGGATGAGGCCTGCCGAGCTCTCCAGCATGGTCTTGGCAGAGGTGACGATGGGCTCCATGGCTCTGCGCCCCTGCCAGGGAGAGACGATGGCCTCTGTGACCCAGAGGCACTGCCTACTCCCTGAGACCAAGGCCCCCTGTCTTCAGCAACCTCCCTCCCCCTCCGATTCCCCCATATCTGACTTCATCACCCTCTCCCCATATCCCCTCCAGTTCTCTGAGACCTGCCACATCCCCCCGCCCACATACCTGATCCAGGAAGCCACCCCAATCCCACCCCCCAGGGCCTAGGGCTCTCGCCTGGGCCATGCTTCCCTCCTCCGCAGTCTGAGCTAGGAAGGAGCAGTCCTGGACACTCCCCCGGTGCCCTGTGCAGGGCACGCTCCATGCCCGCCCCGTGGCAGCTCTCACCTCAGGGCTGATCTGGGCTGGGATGGTGGCGAACTCCGGGTTGGAGGCGAAGGCCGTCAGGTTATCCACGGCCTCAATGAGGGGGGCGGTGGCTGCCCGGCATCGCTCCCGGTTGTCCTCGTTAAAGGCTCCGTCCAGCGCCTGAGGCAGCGGGAGAGACCAGCTGGTTACTGCAATGGGCCCAGTCGCCAACCCTGCTGCACCCCCAGCTGCCCCCTCCCCAGTGCGGTCGCTGGGGACCCCCTGAGCAGCCAGCCCAAAGGATGATGCTTCTCTCCCAGGCCGGCACGTTGCGTGGGGGCAGAGAGGTACCTTGATGGTCTTGACCAGGTTGGCCGTGCTGTTGGCCACCTCCTTGGCGGACTGGACGAACTGGCGCTTGGCGACGGGGTTCGCGGTGCGAGAGGAGGCCAGGCGGCAGGTGTTGCACAGGGCCGAGGTGTGCTTGGCTACGATGGTGGCGGCCGACAGCACCTGCAGAGGGGGCAGGAGTCACAGGCCATCCTGTCCAGCCCTAGATCCCAGCTCCGACCCCCTGCACCCCCCGCCGTCCTGTCCAGCCCTAGATCCTAGCTCTGACCCCCTGCACCCCCCTCCTGCTCTCCCCCTCACAGAGCGGGCAGGGGTCACCTGCCATCCTGTCCAGCCCTAGATTCCAATTCCGACCCTCTGCCTCACCACCGCCTGCTCTCCCCCCCCGCGGTTGTCCAGCCCTATATCCCAGCTCCGACCCCCTGCACCCCCGCCTGCTCTCCCCCCACCATCCTGTCCAGCCCTAGATCCCAGCTCCGACCCCCCACACCCCACTCCTGCTCTCCCCCAACAGACTGGGGCAGGGGTCACAAGCCATCCTGTCCAGCCCTAGATCCCAGTTCCGACCCCCTGCACCCCCCACCTGCTCTCCCCCCCCGCCGTCCTGTCCAGCCCTAGATCCCAGCTCCGACCCCTCCTGCCACTGGGGGAGACGGGCCTCCCTGTATTCCCCGCCTCACCCCTGCCCATCCCCCTGCACCCTGCTCCTCCCCCAGAGCAGGGACTCCCTGCACCCTGCTCCCCCACCCCCACTAGAGCAGAACCAGAGAGGTCACCCAGCACCAGCTCCTGGACCAGCCCCACACAAATTAGGGCCAGGAGGTGCCTGGAGAGCCCATGGCCACAGCCCCATCCAACCCCCCAGCGACAGACAGGGCCCGGCTCAGCCAGCAGGGACCCACGGCCAGCACCTATAGCAGGAAGCGCCTGGAGCTGCGTCATTAGCCAGCTTGGCTCTGGCCCCAACCTCCCAGCTGCAACCCCCCAGGGCTGGTGCCACGCCATGCCCAGGACTCAGCCCTTCCAGCTGCTCCCACCTTCCCCGCCTGTGAGCGCAGGAGGGAGCCTGGTGCCCAGACAACCTGCTCCTTCCCAGCGCCCTCACCCACCTGGGACTGCGTGCAGGCCGGGTCCACCAGGTTCTGGCAGGCCATCTGGATCGCTTGGTTGGCTCTGGCAAACTGGGTGGGGTCCACTAGGCCCTGCTGTCCAGCCTGGCTGTTCGGGTCCGAAACAGCCACCAGATAGGCAGCCTGGGAGCACCAGAGAGGGGAGAAGTTCGGAACAGCACCAGGGCCAGACAGGCCTAGGAGTCGGGGCTGAGGCAGCGCAGGGAGGGGCTCTTGGGGACCGCCCGGTGGGGGTCAATGCAGCAGGGGAGGGGCTCCGGGCAATGGTCCAGAGGGGAGGGGTGAGGCAGCAAGGGGAGGGGCTCTGGGGGATGGCACAGAGGGGAGGGGTGGGGGGGCGAGGCAGCAGGGGGGAAGGGCTCTGGGGGGGTGAGGCAGTGCAGGGAGGGGCTCGGGAGTGGCACGGAGGGGACAGGTTTGGGGACGCCGGTGGCAGAGTAGGGAAGGGCTCGGGGTACGCAGCGGCAGTGCAGGGACAGGGTCTCTGGCAGCCGGCCCCAGGGCAGTTGTGAGGGGCTGAGGCCGAAGGCCGGGCTCTCTCACCTGAGCAGCGGCCTCTGTGAACCCACAGAGCGCCTTGGAGGCTGTGCTGACTGACTCCCCGAACTCGGACAGTTTGCTGTTCTTGGCATGCTGGGAAATTCCAGCCATGGCTTCGCCCAGGACCTGCAGGAGAGAGAGGTGTCCAGAGACAGAAACCCCACAGTGCCCCCGCGAGCGAGCCTGAGATGGCTTGGCGGGGTGGACGGAGAGACAGACAGACACGCTGCCCCAGCCACATGCACATTGTCCAGCCTCTCAGCACCACCCACCTTGATTCCTGCAGCCTCTCTCCACTCACATTGCTCATACCATGGCCCTGTTCTGGCTACCGCCCCCCTCTGCTCCCCATCTCAAGGGCATCAAGTTCAGGCTTCCAGGCCCTTCACGGCTCATCTAGTCCCACTCACCCACTCTTCTGCCTGTGAGCCAGCAACCTGGCTGCTCCTCCCACAAACCTCTCCGCTGCTCTGGGAGGCCAGACCGTCTCCCCTTGTGCCCTGATGGGAACCAGCCTGCTGATGCGGGGCTGTGACGGGCCCAGGAGGAGAGAGAGGCCTTTAGCACAAACTTCTGTGCAGAGGTCTTATCCCTCCCTGCACTGCAGGGTACCAGGCACACTGCGAGCACTTCGGGGAACAGCAGGGACAAGATGCCCTGGATAGAGACGTGCAGTCCACCTAGAGGAAAATGCGTCCCTGCCCCGGAGCTCAGCCAGGCCATGGGACCAGCAGCCCAGACCCTGTGTTCAGCAGGGTGGAAGGGGTCCGGGCACCCAGGAGCACAGGGCAGGAGAGACCCCAGACACCGACAGAGACTGGCACGAGGAGAACAGGAGAAAAGCCAGCCCTGCACTGCGGCTGGCCCAGGCCACGAAGGGCCAGAATCCTGGAGGGGTTGGTCTCTGCACAAGAACCCGAGCCCCTGGAGCATTCCCTGGGCTGCCAGGGACAGGCAGAGCGAGCACGGGCGAAATGGCAGATGCCTGGACATAGGGTGAGAGCAAGTCACTGCACCTGGCAAGCAGAAGGGAGCAGGAAACCTGCTGGGAGCAACCAACACAAAGGGCCTTCCCAAATACCCACCGTCCAGCTCCAAGCCCCAGCTCCCCCCGAATCACCTGTCCACTCCCCACACCCCGATCCAGCTCCACCCACGTACCATGTGCCCCCTGTGCCTCCATGTCCCCAACCTCACCTTGGAGTTCTCCATGACGCTGTCCAGGCAGTTGAAGTAGGACATGTCGTTGACAGCCTGGGTGGGGTTCTCCAGCAGCTCCCGCACCGTCTGCAGGGGGAGACATGTCAGAGCGAGCAGCAAGGGGACAGAACAGAGAAGCTGAACGTCCCCCCTCGTCCTCCATTTCTGACTGTTCAGAGCCCCAGCCAGGCCCCCCCAATGTGATCACTAGTACAACCTCTTCCAGCAGGAAGGACTCAGGGATCCCATGCTCCGCGCCACCCCCAGCTCTCCCAGCGTGTCCCCCCGCCTCAGGCATCCCCCCGCCACCCCCAGCGC